AACATAACACATTGTACAGTGTACTGGGTGCTTAACATAACACATTGTACAGTGTACTGGGCGCTTAACATAACACATTGTACAGTGTACTGGGCGCTTAACATAACACATTGTACAGTGTACTGGGCGCTTAACATAACACATTGTACAGTGTACTGGGTGCTTAACATAACACATTGTACAGTGTACTGGGCGCTTAACATAACACATTGTACCAGTGTACTGGGCGCTTAACATAACACCATTGTACAGTGTACTGGGCGCTTAACATAACACATTGTACAGTGTACTGGGGCTTAACATAACACATTGTACAGTGTACTGGGTGCTTAACATAACACATTGTACAGTGTACTGGGCGCTTAACATAACACATTGTACAGTGTACTGGGTGCTTAACATAACACATTGTACAGTGTACTGGGCGCTTAACATAACACATTGTACAGTGTACTGGGCGCTTAACATAACACATTGTACAGTGTACTGGGCGCTTAACATAACACATTGTACAGTGTACTGGGTGCTTAACATAACACATTGTACAGTGTACTGGGTGCTTAACATAACACATTGTACAGTGTACTGGGTGCTTAACATAACACATTGTACAGTGTACTGGTGCTTAACATAGCACCTTGTACAGTGTACTGGTGCTTAACATAGCACCTTGTACAGTGTACTGGGCGCTTAACATAACACATTGTACAGTGTACTGGGTGCTTAACATAACACATTGTACAGTGTACTGGGTGCTTAACATAACACATTGTACAGTGTACTGGGCGCTTAACATAACACATTGTACAGTGTACTGGGTGCTTAACATAACTGTAGTGTAGTGATAACACAAGCATTATATCACATGTAACTTTAACACACTAACGGACAACATAACCACAGTACAAGCACCAATACACTCAACAATATCGCCTCCACTCACTCTCACCCTCAGAAAATAATATAAGAAACACCTTGTGTAAATATATACAGAATATATCTGGCATAAAAGTGTAGCGTGGACGAATTTTGCAACATTGAGAGTATAGAGCACAAGTGGACCCCGATACCTGAGACGCTATTGACGACTGTGTGTGTGTGTGTGTGTGTATGTAAACGAGTACACACACACACACACACACACACACACACACACACACACACACACACAACCACAAATATGCGAGTACATTTGTAGTTCAACAGTTATGTCCAGGAGCTAAGAATTATTCCCCATTAACACACATCAAACCAAATTAAAATAGACAATATCAGTTAAAATAATCATTACTTAAAATAGTAGCAAAACAGTAGCATCTGCACTTTTGACACAGCCAATTGAAGCGCTAATTTGTATTTCTAGATCTGTGCCAGTTTTAGACCACTGCCTCCAGCTGGCGCACTGTCTAGCGTTTTCAGGCCTTGCCAGGCCCTGTTTTCAAAGGCAGCACCAGGGCCGACAGCAGCCTGCTGTCGGTCTTGCATCACTGAAGTTTTCCCAACACAATGTTGATATATTCCCTAGGCAGGCTATCTGGTATAAAAGTTTACTAATATGAAGGTGACTTGCTTCGTGTACTGGAGACCACTGTCACCTCCGTTTGTTGAAAAGTGTGTGGTTAAGGGTCTAGGCTAGGTTAGGTCTATCACTGTAACTTCCTCACACTGTTCCTCTACACCATGCAATTTATCGCTGTTATACACTGTTTATAGCTGCTGTACACTGTGGTTATCGATGAGACTTTCCTTCCACTGCACTATACTGGAAAACTTTGTATTTATACACTGCACACGAAGGCTGTTGGCCACACATAGGCCTATGAGTTTCTCATCATTCACTTAACATTTAATTCTATACATTATGTTCCTTTCTAGTAACTGGCAAATAGTTGTTCCTGACTGGATTACTCCCTTCCGATTTCCTTGTATGACTTAGATGTTAAGGACAGTGGAGTTGACCGGGATAACCGTATCATAGATATGCAATCGGAAAGGAGACCTGAGCAATACAGATGTTCACACGATTTTCCTAGAGCCAACAAGATGAGGTGGAGGCTAAGAGTCGACCAGGATATCCGAATCATAACGTCCTACGGGGTGAGAGAAATATAGTTACCAGAGGACATAGGACCATAGGTTATGGCATAGCGATACATGAGTAGCCAGATTAAATCTAAACCAATGTAGGTAACTTAATACAATGATCAATCCCGAGGACTACTTACCAGAAGGAGAGTCAGAAGTAGAGTGACACTACTGGCTTACCCTGGCTACTAGGTATCCACCAGTAGCCAGATGGTAGGGCTGTTGACGCTCATAAATCCTGAGTAGTTTGAACGATAACTAATTGTTTAACTATAAAATTCACAAAAACTACTCTTATTCCTCACAAATAATAATAATAATAATAATAATAATAATAATAATAATAATAATAATAATAATAATAATAATAATAATAATAATAATAATGATGATAAACGAACAAACAAAATTTATTACTTTGCAAGATTTTATTGAGATTATGAAATTACAATAAGGAGTTGCAGTGCAAAGAGAGCCACTATGATGCCTAGGCATTATGGGCAGACTTAACTTTATGGCTTACAGACTACTTAATTAATGGCTTACACTACTTAATTAATGGCTTACACTACTTAATTAATGGCTTACAGACTACTTAATTAATTAATGGCTTACAGACTACTTAATTAATGGCTTACAGACTACTTAATACTAAAGAAATTGATCAGTATAAGTCGTACATTTTTTTTTATTTATAGTTGACAGTAATTTTACTCTAATTACAATAGTTTCAATAATAAATATTGAAATTATATTATGGGAATGATTTTTATTTTTACAAGTACATACATGAGACAACTTACACAGACCTATCTGACACGATATATAGAAAGTCCCTGGTTATGCAGAGCATTTCGGGCAACTTAGGTTAATTTGTCCCCCAGGATGCGACCTACACCAGTCGACCAACACCCAGGTACCTGTTTAGTGCTAAGTGAACATGGACAGCAGGTGTCTTAAGGAACACACCTTAATGTTTGCACCCGTACCGGGCATCGAGCTACGGACCTCATTGTTTGAGCTGAGTGCGCTACCAATCGAGATACGGGAGTCAATGTACACTATTTTCCTTATTTTGTCCCAGAGAATACTAGCATTCACTAGATAGCTCGAGTATATTGTGAGACACTAGCAAGGAGTGAACTCGCTTATGCATTATTTTGTCTAAGATTTTAGATAGTAATGGCAAGTTGGATATTGGTCTATAGTTATTTACTTGGGCTGGATCACCTCGTTCGAGGATCGTGGCAACACTTGTTATCTTAGTTATTGTTGAGAAAGTTGAACATTCTAATAAACTGTTGAGCAGTTGCAATAACAGTGACAGTACATGAGCTGTATTTTTTAGTACATTAGTAGCGGTAAATTAGGCATAACACAAGACACTCTTTGACATCCCCAGCATCCGACTCAGCCTATGGAAACACGCAATGCTCATTAAAGGCCGAAAGATCTGGAATTCATTGGCTGAAACATCGACAGGTCCTCTGGCTGCCGATCGATTCAAGGATGTTCTTAAAAAGCACTTTATCTCCCTAACGTAATACAATATGTCAAACAAAACCAGCTCATCCAACTCTGTCCCTGTTTTTCCAGTCTTCATCCAACTTTGTCCCTGTTTTTCCAGTCTTCATCCAACTTTGTCCCTGTTCTTCCAGTCTTCATCCAACTTGTCCTGTTTTTCCATCTTCATCACTTTGTCCCTGTTCTCACTTCATCCAACTCTGTCCCTGTTCTTCCAGTCTTCATCCAACTTTGTCCCTGTTTTTCCAGTCTTCATCCAACTCTGTCCCTGTTCTTCCAGTCTTCATCCAACTCTGTCCCTGTTCTTCCAGTCTTCATCCAACTTTGTCCCTGTTTTTCCAGTCTTCATCCAACTTTGTCCCTGTTCTTCCAGTCTTCATCCAACTTTGTCCCTGTTTTTCCAGTCTTCATCCAACTCTGTCCCTGTTCTTCCAGTCTTCATCCAACTCTGTCCCTGTTCTTCCAGTCTTCATCCAACTCTGTCCCTGTTCTTCCAGTCTTCATCCAACTCTGTCCCTGTTCTTCCAGTCTTCATCCAACTCTGTCCCTGTTCTTCCAGTCTTCATCCAACTCTGTCCCTGTTCTTCCAGTCTTCATCCAACTCTGTCCCTGTTCTTCCAGTCTTCATCCAACTCTGTCCCTGTTCTTCCAGTCTTCATCCAACTCTGTCCCTGTTCTTCCAGTCTTCATCCAACTCTGTCCCTGTTCTTCCAGTCTTCATCCAACTCTGTCCCTGTTCTTCCAGTCTTCATCCAACTCTGTCCCTGTTCTTCCAGTCTTCATCCAACTATGTCCCTGTTCTTCCATTCTTCATCTAATTCCCATAGAAAACTGGATGCATCTTGTTCCATTACATTTCCACTGTACCACAGTAACTTTCTGTATCTTCATCATCTCTACTCAGTTACTCCACAAACCTGAAGATCATCCAGTCAGTTTGAAATAATAAATCATACTTCTGAAACTACCATTTGTTCATTCGCTACCTTTCTTATTGTACATATGATTGTATTTAACTGAATGACAAATCCCCTTTTATAGCCCAAGTGCAGATCTTAAGTGAGACTTAAGCATCAGGATTAATTTGCACGAAATGCATTGCATACTTGTGGCTTTGGTGCCTACCACTGCTATATTATATGTAAAACATTATTTTTGTATCACTTAAATATAATACAATATGTTCACTGGCACAGGAAGAAGTGAGAGCTTGCAGGGAGGGGTGTGAGGGAGGGAGTGAGGGAGGGGTGTGAGGGAGCAGGAAGTATTGTGGAAGGGGGTGTGTCGAAGGGGTGTGAGGGACGGGTGTTTGGGAGGGGTGTGAGAGAGGGGTGTGAGAGAGGGGAGTGAGAGAGGGGAGTTAGGTATGATGGAATACTGACCATCACAACCTTCACCAACGCTCCAGCACACACATCTCCCTCGCTCACTTCTCATAAGTAAGTCACTATATACTTACCTTAATAATTTAATTATATACATTCCATTACATTCAACGTTAATATTATAATTAATGCTTGAGTATTATTATTATTATTATTATTATTATTATTATTATTATTATTATTATTATTATTATTATTATTATTATTATTATTATTATTACTCTTACCGGATTCTACGGGAAACGTTTGATGTGAGAAACAGTAGCTCCAATTCTTCAGATCAAGAACCTTTAATAGCATCAGGGTACCCCCCCTGTTAAAGGGGGGGGGGATAAAACATTAGTGTGGCAAGTCATTTTATTAACATTTTGTCTTTATTACGGATTGAAAATAATAATTATAATAAGTGGATGTATTTTGGATGCTGGACGACCCTAGCAATGTGGCCTTGTATTGTATAACCCCAGCCCCTTCTACCTCAATATATGCCGCTGGTATAGTACCGAGTCTGACATAAGTTTGTAATGCATTTCTTCAGTGTATCAGAGTTGAAGATTTATGGCAAATCAGAAGAGACATTAACAAGTTATCACATGAAACTACTATGACAATTTATTCAATAAAAATGGCAAATTAGGACAAACACTGCCCAGAACTAAAAAAAAATGCTTTTAAGTTAAACTGAAGAAGTATATTCTTGTTATTTCAGAGACACCAAAACCCCCAAATAAACATTAAGTTTGAAGCCATCCATAATTTGTATTATCAACTTATCAGTGCTGAATTATTAAAGCCAATCATTTTCAATAGTATTTAGATTTTCCACATTTCTTCCATAACAATCCAAAAAAAAATCTTCCGTAACAAGGCAAACTTGGACCTACACAGGTTCATAGTATTCCAATTTTTTGCAGGGTCTTGAGGACACATAGATGTTATGGGCAGATGAAAATTACATTACGGAAATTTAACCTAGTCTTATTTCTGGTCAGAAGAGACATTCACGGAAACCAGTTTGTTTAATAAAATTGACACATTAAAACTTACACCATCAAATAATCACAGAGAAGCTTCGTATGAGGAAAACACATCAACACTAAAAGTTTATAGGCGACCAGATGAAGCATTTTTCTTAATGGATACGTAAGTTCACCTGTCTTCTAATAACATGTTCGTTTCTCCATTATAATCTACCTTGTCCATAATTACTATTACGTCTAGGATCTTTCCATAATTCATGGTATAACTTAACAAATCTTCGAGGACAATTGTGTTGTAGAGGTCTTCAACACAGCTGGAAAGATCCTCGACTTCACCTTATAAAAGCAGACAAAGTAAATGCGATAGTAGTTATGGACTAGGTAGATTATAGTGGAGATATGAATAAGTTATTAGAAAACGGGGGAACTTACGTGGCTGTTAATGGTGTTACTGGTGAGGGGAGACGAGGAGCACCAGCACACACCTTACATAATGCTTTACAATGGCCTTGCTGTTGAGTTTAGCCCCGACTCTTTTCCTTTCTCTGCAGTTATTTCCCCTCCCTCATCTATTCTTCAACTATCCCCACTTGCCCCTCACCCCTAGTGGGTCCTTACCTGTGAGTTCCGTTAGTTCGTCGTTCCAGTTAATGATGTTGTTTGGAGAGTCGTCTGAATTGTGATGTGTTTGCTTCTGGTAAGAGTTATTCACTGAATGATGAAGAATAAATTTCCTTCTCTGAGGTCACCCTACCTTGGTGGGAGACGGCTGATGAGGTAAAAAGAAAATAACTCATGAAGTGGGATGATAGCATAGTGATCATTAAGGCAGATAAACTGCAGAAATGATGTCTGGAGTCTGCAGTGACTGCCACTTTAACAACAGTAACCCAGAACACTGGAAGTTTTAGAGTGTCTGGGATCTTGTCTACAATGATACTGTCCTCCAGAACACAGTGATCAGGTGACCTCAGTTGATTAGTGGCGCCTTTTCAACTATTACCACCAACACCTCTACACCCGACTACGTAATTCGAGTGCAAGTATGACTCGCCGTAGTAGTCCCAACCCAGGTCTTCTCCATGACCATGAGGGGACACGACGCACGTCGTTCTTCAGTCTGCTATACACACTCTGTTTTCCCAGTGTCTGTACTCCACTGACAAAGTTCCCATTGAGCAACACGTCTCCTAATAAAAATATCAACGTCCTACGGATGGATATGAATTCTACAACTGTCCATGTTAGATACCATTCATGACCAACTCTAAGGTTGTGGCCACTCTTCCAGAGGTGGATGAAGGTTCTTGTCCCCGGCGCTGTGGTGGTGGTGGCGCTGCTACTGCTGCTGCTGCTACCACCCACCACCACCACTCACCACCACCACCACTATCACCACCATCATCACTACAACCACACTACCACACAAGGTAGGTGAATTTCAAGCTACAGCAATTTGACCTGCTCAGTAAGTACCTGAGACAATAAGTACCTGAGACAGTAAGTATCTGAGAAAATAGGAATCTGGGATAGTAGGTACCTGGGACAGTATATGTGTCTGGGACAGTAGGCACCTGGGACAGTAAGTGACGTAGACAACAGAAACCTGGGAAAGTAGGTACTTGGGACATGACGTACCCGGGACAGTAGGTACCGAGGACAGCAAAAACCCTGGGACAGTAGGTACCTAGGACAGTGGGTACCTGGGGCAGTAGGTATCTAGGAGTATACTTGGAGGGTGTTCCGGGGGTCAATGCCCCCGCGGCCGGTCTATGACCAGGCCTCGCGGTGGATCAGGATCTGATCAACTAGGCTGTTACTGTTGGCCGCAAGCAATACGACCCACGAACCCACAGTACGTACCTAGGACAGTAGGTACTTGGGGCAGTGTAGTAACACTGTCACTTGCTCACCTGTCAGTGTAAGTTTTCATTAATACTGAGTATAATGTGAGTACTGTGGCCTCCTCGTCAGGTGTGTGGGGGGTCGAGTCATGGTTGGCCGCCTACAACCATCACCTGGAGGTTCTGAAGAGAAGGAACGCAGCTGCACTCTGGGAGTCCCTCACTCACCCTACAGAAGAAGGCAACCATCACCTGCAGGAAGCCCAGACTGTCCTGGTGAGTCTCAGGTGGGGGTCAGTCACCTGGTATGTCAGCCAAGTGGGGGTCAATCTGCGCTAAGCAGTGGTGTGTGTAGGCTTGAACCTTCGTCCGCTAAACCCTGGTCGGAGCACTCGACTCACTAGATATGTACAAAATTGACGTGCAACGCGAGGGAAAAAAAACTGTTCTGATACCTTAGATTTAAATGAGATTAAGTAAATATGTGTGTGGGAGGGTGATAGGCCGTACGTAGAACCGGCCTAGCACTGCCAAGCCAGTAGGCCTCCTGCGGGATACTCTTCTTAAGTAGATGCGCATTTGTCTTGTCAGGAAAAATAATATATTTTCGTTTACTAATACAACGAAATTGAGCATTTGTAAGTAGTGCAGAAATGCATGGGGAAAGCGCTAAACCTGTATGAGCCATTCAGACCCTGGGGAATTGGTGAAAATCTGGTTCATTCTGGAGGAAAGGGTAGCAGCGCTTGAGGAATGGGGAGGGTAGGAGCGCCTGGGTAATAGGGAGGATAGCAGCGCCTGGGTAATGGGGAGGATAGCAGCGCCTGGGTAATGGGTGGGTAGCAGCGCCTGGGTAATGGGTGGGTAGCAGCGCCTGGGTAATGGGGAGGATAGCAGCGCCTGGGTAATGGGTGGGTAGCAGCGCCTGGGTAATGGGTGGGTAGCAGCGCCTGGGTAATGGGGACGGTAGCAGCGCCTGGGTAATGGGGAGGATAGCAGCGCCTGGGTAATGGGTGGGTAGCAGCGCCTGGGTAATGGGGACGGTAGCAGCGCCTGGGTAATGGGGAGGATAGCAGCGCCTGGGTAATGGGTGGGTAGCAGCGCCTGGGTAATGGGGACGGTAGCAGCGCCTGGGTAATGGGGAGGATAGCAGCGCCTGGGTAATGGGTGGGTAGCAGCGCCTGGGTAATAGGGAGGATAGCAGCGCCTGGGTAATGGGGACGGTAGCAGCGCCTGGGTAATGGGGAGGATAGCAGCGCCTGGGTAATGGGTGGGTAGCAGCGCCTGGGTAATAGGGAGGGTAGCAGCGCCTGGGTAATGGGGACGGTAGCAGCGCCTGGGTAATGGGGACGGTAGCAGCGCCTGGGTAATGGGTGGTAGCAGCTCCTGGGTAATGGGTGGTAGCAGCGCCTGGGTAATGGGTGGGTAGCAGCGCCTGGGTAATAGGGACGGTAGCAGCGCCTGGGTAATGGGGTCGGTAGCAGCGCCTGGGTAATGGGTGGTAGCAGCTCCTGGGTAATGGGTGGTAGCAGCGCCTGGGTAATAGGGAGGGTAGCAGCGCCTGGGTAATGGGGACGGTAGCAGCGCCTGGGTAATGGGTGGTAGCAGCGCCTGGGTAATGGGTGGTAGCAGCCCTGGGTAATGGGGGTAGCAGCGCCTGGGTAATGGGGACGGTAGCAGCGCCTGGGTAATTGGGACGGTAGCAGCGCCTGGGTAATGGGTGGTAGCAGCGCCTGGGTAATGGGTGGTAGCAGCGCCTGGGTAATGGGGACGGTAGCAGCGCCTGGGTAATTGGGACGGTACAGGCCTGTAAGGTGTAGCAGCGCCTGGGTAATGGGGAAGGTAGTAGCGCCTGGGTAATGGGGACGGTAGCAGAGCCTGGGTAATGGGGACGGTAGTAGCGCCTGGGTAATGGGGACGGTAGCAGAGCCTGGGTAATGGGGACGGTAGCAGAGCCTGGGTAATGGGGCGGTAGCAGGCCTGGGTAATGGGGACGGTAGCAGAGCCTGGGTAATGGGGACGGTAGCAGAGCCTGGGGAATGGGGGCGGTAGCAGAGCCTGGGTAATGGGGACGGTAGCAGAGCCTGGGTAATGGGGACGGTAGCAGAACCTGGGAATGGGACGGTAGCAGAGCCTGGGGAATGGGGACGGTAGCAGAGCCTGGGTAATGGGGACGGTAGCAGAGCCTGGGTAATAGGGACGGTAGCAGAGCCTGGGTAATGGGGACGGTAGCAGAGCCTGGGTAATGGGGACGGTAGCAGAGCCTGGGTAATGGGGACGGTAGCAGAGCCTGGGTAATGGGGACGGTAGCAGAGCCTGGGTAATGGGGACGGTAGCAGAGCCTGGGTAATGGGGACGGTAGCAGAGCCTGGGTAATGGGACGGTAGCAGAGCCTGGGTAATGGGGACGGTAGCAGAGCCTGGGTAATGGGGACGGTAGCAGAGCCTGGGTAATGGGGACGGTAGCAGAGCCTGGGTAATGGGGACGGTAGCAGAGCCTGGGTAATGGGGACGGTAGCAGAGCCTGGGTAATGGGGACGGTAGCAGAGCCTGGGTAATGGGGACGGTAGCAGAGCCTGGGTAATGGGGACGGTAGCAGAGCCTGGGTAATGGGGACGGTAGCAGAGCCTGGGTAATGGGGACGGTAGCAGAGCCTGGGTAATGGGGACGGTAGCAGAGCCTGGGTAATGGGGACGGTAGCAGAGCCTGGGTAATGGGGACGGTAGCAGAGCCTGGGTAATGGGGACGGTAGCAGAGCCTGGGTAATGGGTGTCAATCAGGTTTTATCTGAAAGGAAGGTTAGTTCACATTTCTAAGGGAATTTCACCAGGCATCAAAGACGTGTTTGAGAATGCTGCTACGTTTAGGGCATTTAATCACCAGACATTTCGCCCACTGGTGCGTTTTTACAATCCAGTACACCGCATGAAAGAAACATATATATACTTCAGCCAGAGATCAGTGTTTGTGTATATTTCGCCTGCTCTTGCGAATTTCCTTGTATATATATATATATATATATATATATATATATATATATATATATATATATATATATATATATATATATATATATATATATATGTATGTATATATATATATATATATGTGTGTGTGTGTGTGTGTGTGTGTGTGTGTGTGTGTGTGTGTGTGTGTGTGTGTGTGTGTGTGTGTGAGATAGGAGGCACCAGGTCACACTCCTCACTGTATATGGACCAGACACACTCACAGTGTGGTGACCAGACACTCCTCACAATGTGGTGACCAGACACTCCTCACAGTGTGTGGACCAGACACACTCACAGTGTGGTGACCAGACACTCCTCACAATGTGGTGACCAGACACTCCTCACAGTGTGGAGACAGAAACATTCCTCACAGTATATTATCAAACTACCTCCTCACAATAGCATAACAATGACGATCTCTCACTGAAGTCTAACAGAACTGGATTTTTAATGAAGGGTTGCAGGAAAACACTAGTATTACTAAAGAAAAATTATTTATTTATATACAAATATACACAGCATGACCCAGACTCCACAGAAATGATGATTGTTTGCTGAACACTGTGACACCGCGCCCGACACTTGCCAGTGGTGTGTGGAGTGTCAAGTTTCTGTGTAAAGGAATGAGAAATAGCTATGGAGAGCTTTCTCACTTCCCAATAGTATGGGAGCAGACTTTCTATGGAAGCTGAATTTGTGTGGGAGTCGACTTCGTGTGGGAGTCGACTTCGTATGAGAGTCGACTTCGTGTGGGAGTCGACTTCGTGTGGGAGTCGACTTCGAGTTACTCCTCGTTGGACTGGTGGAGCCAGTCCTTGAGCTGGACTCTGAAAGGCACCTTTGTCTGCGCTGACGCTCGGGAAGACTGTGCCCCCGGGTTGAACCCTCATCCCCAGGCTCTGGGGACGACTCCATTACCTGCAACCACAGAAAACGGTCAGAACGTAATGGTAGTGCCTTCTATATAACTTTAGTTATGAAATTTTTAACTATAAAAATCGCAAATAACAGAATACTTGCGTTCCAAGAGACCACACCTCTATGATCTTACCAAATAAGATTCTAATTAGCATCTGCCTTACAGAGTTTTTTAATATTATTGTGTTTACAAGAGGTTATCCTCACCAGATTTGTCACAATACTGAAAGAATAAAGTCACAATACCGTGGCTGAACTTATTCATCACAAATTTGTACTTAGGAGGAACCTTATGATGATGTATCGGTTCATCATGATCCATTGTTATGTCACAAGATTCACAACCGGGGTCCAGTTTTCATTTGATAATGGTCCAGTCCTGAGAGAACCGTCGTAATCATAAGGCTCCTCTCCTAAGTGCGGGTGTTTGGTGACTTGTTATAATTGTATGTTACTTACCTGGTGATGTGGAGAACTGTATGACGCCAGCTGAGATAGATCCAACTCTTGTGCCACGGTCGTCAGGGTAGTAAGTCGTGGGTGGCGACGTTGCGAGAGTGTTGAGAGGGATGTGTTGACATGTTGCTCACTAGCCGTGACTGCGCTGGTATAGTCTGCCATGCGTGTGGACTCCTCAGACTGCTGTAGTCCCTGTCGTAATGTCTGTCGTAGCCGGCGACGCTGACGGCGCTGATGTATCCTGCGGGAACGTGAGACGAGCCTGTCCAGGGCTGGGGGCGGCTGTGTCCCGCTCTCCAGCAACAGGTCTCGCAAAGTAGACAATAATACAGTCTGCAATACACCTGCAGTTTGCATGTTGCGACCTGCAGCGCTGTTGATGCCCATCAAAGCATACAGTGTCATTTCAATGAGTGTATCATTATCCCGGGGAGTCACACACGTCTTCATGTCAGGAAGCAAGACAGGTCAGCACAGACACACAATCTTGAAGCAGCGGAGACGACAGACTGATCTCTCAGGATAAGCTTCTCACCTTCTAATTGTTGGTAAAGATCGCCTACCTGAACCACTGATACATGCATTCCAAGTTAAATAATTTTTCTCCTGTGATACTATCGTCTTATTTTAAACTATTATTCATCTATTTAAAGAAAAAATTCGCTACCGCTTGTCCATTGAAGCAACTGGAACAGTATCAAAGAGGCCGTAATGTAAGTATTTATGATGCAGATATTGGTAAATAGTTAACTGCTGTTTGAATCGCGGGTGTGGGTGAGGTGAGGGAAGGACACTCCCATATCCTGCCACACTTCCCTTTATGTACACAACCATCCCTCCCTCCATGTGACTCCTCCCTCCACACCCAGACTCTCGCTTCTAAAGTTCGTTTTTTCTTCTTCTAAGACTTTCAGGATATTATTTTTTTATGAATAGTGATGCGATAAGACTGTAGGATACTATAAGATGTCAGTGATGTTACAAGGTAACAGTAATGTCACAAGATAACAGCATGGAATGTTCACTCCAGGATAAGAGCCGTTCCCAGTAAAATCGCCCCTTAAAATCTTTACAAGGATAGGACATTGATACAAAATTCCCAAGTAGAGTCACTGAAGCGAGAACTTCTGGTTGTCCTTCAGATAGTACTGTATTTACACCAACTCCTGTTCCTTGTACGTTCCATTGGTCACTACTGTACCTCCACCAACCCCTGTTCCACGCACCTTCCACTGGTCGCCACTGTACCTACACCAACCCCTGTTCCACGCACCTTCCACTGGTCGCCACTGTACCTACACCAACCCCTGTTCCACGCACCTTCCACTGGTCGCCACTGTACCTACACCAACCCCTGTTCCAGGCACCTTCCACTGGTCACTACCTCTAACAACCCCTGTTCCACGCACCTTCCACTGGTCGCAACTGTACCTACACCAACCCCTGTTCCAGGCACCTTCCACTGGTCACTACTGTACCTCTAACAACCCCTGTTCCACGCACCTTCCACTGGTCGCCACTGTACCTACACCAACCCCTGTTCCAGGCACCTTCCACTGGTCACTACTGTACCTCTTAACAACCCCTGTTCCACGCACCTTCCACTGGTCGCCACTGTACCTACACCAACCCCTGTTCCAGGCACCTTCCACTGGTCACTACCTCTAACAACCCCTGTTTCACGCACCTTCCACTGGTCGCCACTGTACCTACACCAACCCCTGTTCCAGGCACCTTCCACTGGTCACTACTGTACCTCTAACAACCCCTGTTCCACGCACCTTCTACTGGTCGCCACTGTACCTACACCAACCCCTGTTCAAGGCACCTTCCACTGGTCACTACCTCTAACAACCCCTGTTCCACGCACCTTCCACTGGCTCAGCTGAGATCAGATGATTGTAGGTCAGTAAACAGACTGTAGCAGTTCTTCAAGGAAGCACAGATAATAATATGTGTATCAGACATATATCTCAACGAATCACTGAGGTGAGTACATTAGTGTACACATGACATGTAGCTGTAAGTTATCCACTTCCCCACGGATCAAGTAAAAAACGTTATAGAACAAAGTCACAACCTAACCTACCTAAATGTTTTCCCACACCGTCTACACCCCGACCTTCCCACAACCTTCTATGCCCCCGCTTAACACAACCGTCTTCACCCCCACCTCCCCACAACCGTCTTCAACCCCACCTCCCCACAACAAACCACTGTTGTTTCCTCATTGAGATCGTTGTATACAAAGTATCGTACAAAATATAGATTTGTTTAAGATATCCCTGGCCCATCGTTCCTCCTCCTGGCACAAACATCTCTCCTCTTTCATCTTCTGTCTCCCCAACTCTCCTTCCCCGCCTCTTCTCATAATCTTCTCTAATCTGCTACTTCTAATCCTCTCCTCCTCCTGGCTACGACCTCGCCCTCTACTCTCCAACATGTGACCTCACCACTCTACCTGACGTCGCAGATCACACTACCTGACGTCCCAGGTTTGCAGTTGTCTCTCTTAGGATCGTGAAGAGTAAAAGATGTACGTGTACGTGTTCATGGTTAGTAAAGATGTGTGTTAGTCATGTTACAGGTGAAGGTGAGTGTTACTCGTGTTACAGGTGAAGGTGAATGTTGCTCGTGTTACAGGTGAAGGTGAGTGTTACTCGTGTTACAGGTGAAGGTGAGTGTTAGTCATGTTACAGGTGAAGGTGAGTGTTAGCCATGTTACAAGTGAAGGTGAGTGTTACTCGTGTTACAAATGAAGGTGAGTGTTACTCGTGTTACAAATGAAGGTGAGTGTTACTCGTGTTACAGGTGAAAGTTGAGTGTTACTCGTGTTACAAATGAAGGTGAGTGTTACTCGTGTTACAGGTGAAGGTGAATGTTGCTCGTGTTACAGGTGAAGGTGAGTGTTACTCGTGTTACAGGTGAAGGTGAGTGTTAGTCATGTTACAGGTGAAGGTGAGTGTTAGCCATGTTACAAGTGAAGGTGAGTGTTACTCGTGTTACAAATGAAGGTGAGTGTTACTCGTGTTACAGGTGAAAGTTGAGTGTTACTCGTGTTACAAATGAAGGTGAGTGTTACTCGTGTTACAGGTGAAGGTTGAGTGTTACTCGTGTTACAGGTGAAGGTGAGTGTTACTCGTGTTACAGGTGAAGGTGAGTGTTACTCGTGTTACAGGTGAAGGTGAGTGTTACTCGTGTTACAGGTGAAGGTGAGTGTTAGTCATGTTACAGGTGAAGGTGAGTGTTAGTCAGGTTACAGGTGAAGGTGAGTGTTACTCGTGTTACAGGTGAAGGTGAATGTTACTCGTGTTACAGGTGAAGGTGAGTTACTCGTGTTACAAGTGAAGGTGAGTGTTACTCGTGTTACAGGTGAAGGTGAGTGTTACTCGTGTTACAGGTGAAGGTGAGTGTTAGTCATGTTACAGGTGAAGGTGAGTGTTAGGTTATAAATGAAGGTAAGTGTTACTCGTGTTACAGGTGAAGGTGAATGTTACTCGTGTTACAGGTGAAGGTGAGTGTTACTCGTGTTACAGGTGAAGGTGAGTGTTACTCGTGTTACAGGTGAAGGTGAGTGTTACTCGTGTTACAGGTGAAGGTGAGTGTTAGTCATGTTACAGGTGAAGGTGAGTGTTAGTCAGGTTACAGGTGAAGGTGAGTGTTACTCGTGTTGCAGGTGAAGGTGAGTGTTAGTCATGTTATGAATGAAGGTAAGTGTTACTCGTGTTACAGGCGAAGGTGAATGTTACTCGTGTTACAGGTGAAGGTGAGTGTTACTCGTGTTACAGGTGAAGGTGAGTGTTACTCGTGTTACAGGTGAAGGTGAATGTTGCTCGTGTTACAGGTGAAGGTGAGTCTTAGTCATGTTACAGGTGAATGTGAGTGTTAGCCATGTTACAAGTGAAGGTGAGTGTTACTCGTGTTACAGGTGAAGGTGAGTGTTAGTCAGGTTACAGGTGAAAATGAGTGTTACTCATGTTACAGGTGAAGGTGAGTGTTACTCGTGTTACAGGTGAAGGTGAGTGTTACTCGTGTTACAGATGAAGGTGAATGTTACTCGTGTTACAGATGAAAATGAGTGTTGCTCATGTTACAGGCGAAGGTGAGTGTTACTCGTGTTACAGGTGAAGGTGAGTGTTACTCGTGTTACAGGTGAAGGTGAATGTTACTCGTGTTACAGGTGAAGGTGAGTGTTACTCGTGTTACATGTGAAGGTGAGTGTTGCTCGTGTTACAGGTGAAGGTGAGTGTTACTCGTATTACAGGTGAAGGTGAGTATTAGTCATGTTACAAGTGAAGGTGAGTGTTAGTCATGTTACAGGTGAAGGTGAGTGTTAGCCATGTTACAGTTGAAGGTGATGAGTGTCACTATTTGACTAGTAGTACTCATCACCTTCACCTGTAACCTATGTAACACTCGGTCGCCACGACCTTCAAAAGCTCTTTATTTGAGGAACTGGAGTTGCCTTTCTCTTCCAGGTTATCTCCCATTCTCCAGGTGTAATGTGACTCCTACGGGTCTAGGGCATCCCCCATGTATATGATAAGAGTTATGATGTAAGTGGGTTGACCCATGATAACTGTGGCTACTCCCGCAGGCGGCATGGGGTGAGGTGCGGCGGCGGGAGGCGGACAAGCTGCGACCTCAAGCTGTGACCCGCAGAGAGAGCCGTATGTTGTACCTTATAACCCGCGGTCCACGGTACACTTCACACCAGGCCAGGTACGTGGCCACGGTACACTTCACACCAGGCCAGGTATGTGGCCACGGTACACTTCACACCAGGCCAGGTATGTGGAGATGGTACATCCCTCACCAAGCTATGTACTTGACCACCTCTCACTAGCTAGGTACGTGGCTTGGTATATATCTCTCACCAGGCCAGGTACCTGGCCATGGTTCACCTCTCTGACAGATCACTTTGACCTGGTGCAGACCAAACAAGCAACTAAAAGAAACAAATATGCAAGTTCACATTTGGGACCAGTCCCTCTAGAATTTTCCAAGTGTAGATTATGATGTATCTCTCTCGCCTGGGCGTCAGTGAGTACATGTCAAGTGACTCCAAGCTTTCCCAGTAATTAAGGTGCCTAACGGAATTTATATGTGCAGTTAAGGGGCACGTAAGTTCCCATGTCTTCTAATATCATGTTCATTTTTTCACTAGAATCTACCTTGTCCATGATTATTGTCGCATTTGTTTTGTCTGTTCGTAAGGTGAAGTCCAGGATCTCTACTTAATTCATGGTGTAACTTAACAAACATTTGATGACAATTGTCCTCAAAGAACTTATGTGCCCTTTAATTAAGGTTCTCTGTACATTCTCAGACCTACAATTACACTAGCCATGAATGGAGATGTTAGTACACAGCAGTGTTCCATCCCTGGGTCAGACTAGTTTACTTAACATTCTCAGGCGATATATAACCCTTACACACTTATCGTTTTCCCCGGGAATATATCGACAAATTATTCTTCACATGAGACGTAGCAAAGAATAAGTGTTTCTCCCGCAGGTACCTGTCTAGGTTGGTATCCCGCATGCGGCGCATATACTCCTCCTTCACACTTAATCGCGGCAACACAACTTACCGCAACCAGAGGGACCTCACAGCCCTCATGAGGACCTCCCGGGACCCCGAAGTCTTGGCGTGGGCGTGGAGGGCGTGGCACGATGCTCTTGGACCACCCATGCGCCCACTCTACGTTCAAGCAGTCAGTATAATGAACCAGGCTGCAAGGAACGCCGGTAAACACACTATGTCAAATATTTATATATGTCATGTTTAACCGGTTTTAAAAACACGTATATTAAAAAACATATATTAGAAAACGTATAATAGGTCATCACAGGTTAGGACCTCACAGGTTACGAAGATATGGGTGATGCTTGGCGAAGGGAGCTAGAGCTCGGCAGAGATGTGGACGTGTGGGCACTGGTTGAGAGGCTGTACACCCAGGTAGCACCTCTGTACACCTTGCTGCACGCACATGTACGGAATGCACTGGCTGAGCTGTATGGTCAAGACCTGGTTGATCTTGCTAGACCCATCCCGACTCACCTGCTGGGTACGTTTATATTATGAAGCAAGTTTTAGTGTTATCATTGGTACAAATAATGTACACTCCATTACAGTACCTCGGGTAGATATAGTATACAGTAAATCGTCCATATAAAGGACTGATTGAGGTGAAAGAGTAGTTAGTAACGGCAGGTATGGTGCACACAGAAGTGATTGTTGGGTTATGATTGTAACAATAATCTATAGTTCTGTAACCAACGGATTTTGTCTATTATTTACAACTCAAATGACCCAGTGAATTTTGTTTCTCATTTCCGAAGTCCATTATATGGAGGTCCTATATATGGAAGGTTTACTGTATTTCAATAAATGATTAAGTCAGTATATTTTTACTGGTGATATGATTTTCTGATTCAAGATAACTATTGACAGAGGTGCTGACACAGGTGAGATCATATCCATCATCGTTTTCAAGACCAGTCTTAATGTTTTTTTCTTTTATGCTCATCAAAGCTTTTTGTTTGCAAGTAATGGATATATTGTTTTTGTACATTTCATTGTTTGCAGGTTCATACAGAAGTATTCATTCATACAAGCTTTATGACAATATAAGTTTGTCTCGAACACTCAGTTTACGTTCTGTTAATAAAATTTTTTGTGTAACCTTCATCTTGTATCAAGACAATTACTTCCAAGAAATGTTCAACTCGTGCTTCACAAAACTACATATTACACACCTCTGATTATAAATTTTACACTGATTAGTTGGCATTAATTGGGATTTTCTTGATCAAAAATTGCCTTGAAACAGACCTTTATTCTCAGCAGGATCATTGTTCGCACTTTCTTTAATTATACTCGCAAGTGTTTCCTCTAATGTGTAAGTGTTGTAACACTACTTGCTGATATAATGCACAAAATCTTTATCTGCTATCATCCTTGTTAACTATATCACTCTTGCTCATTGCTTCTTCCCGTAAGTGTTTCCGGTCATTTCCAATACGTGAAGTTGGCTCTAAGGATGATCTCTGGCAGATGATGCACCTCAACGGAGGTTCCTTGACGCTGGTGAGGGGCTCTTGATCTAGGGAATTGGATCTGTGCTCCGGTTCCCTGAATTGAGCCTGAATACCTTCCATCCCCTTCCCCCTCACATACGCTGTCGGGTTAGAAGTCTACCCTGAGTGTTTTATCACTCAAGTGACACACTACGTAAAACTAAAATGTAGCTGAGGGTATATTTCATGTACACGGCAGCCATCCTCAGTCGCCGCATCAATCCTGGGTTATTAACCTCCGGGGTAATAATCCAAACAAAATATTTTTCGTAAATAGGCCTAACACGCACTAACGCTATGTTGATAGGACAGTGTCAGGAGAGCCGACTCTAAGTTCAAAAGTTCTGAGGTTAGGTACATAACAGGCGAAGCTCCTGTTGTACGATATATGCAGTTTAAAAAGCTCGATCCTCCGTCCGCTAATGACTAGGCACACTCTAACTGACCTTACCTATTCCAGGAGACTTGTGGGGCCAAGACTGGTCGTCCCTACTGGAGTTGATTCTTCCTGACGAGGGAGAGACTGACACATCCGCTTATCTCAGCACCACGCCCATATCCACGCCCATACCCACGCCCACACCCACGCCCATACCCACGCCCACACCCACGCCCTTACCCACGCCCACACCCACCAACCTTACTGCCAGAGATATGGTCAAGGTAGGTTGCTAGGACTCTTGTATAACTCAGGATAACCCAAGGAGGCCAAGCAGTGTAGCTTATTGTCGTTTAAGAGTCTTTAGGGCCTCTCACATAACAACCGACTAACTCCTAGGTTAGGTTAGGTAAGATTCGTCAGGAAACAGGACAATTGTTTCCTGACGCAAGTCTTAGTCATATGAAGACCCACAGCTGGAGCTTCGGTCATCTGAGCGAGGACTTCCACTGTTTAGCGGTCCACCCCTTTAAAAATAAAGGTTACGATTATAACCATTAATAATATAATAACCCTAAGGTACCTGAATACCTCATCTTTTGTAAACAGTTCTACAGTCTTTCTATTAAGTCCTTGAATTTGTATTGATAAAACCACTGGATGGCGAAACGTCTACAAATAAAGATACCCAGATGTTGCACACGTGTCTAATACTTCATCTTGTCGGTACTATATACCATTCATACAATATACTAGGGTACCTATTGACAGTAAAGTGAATATGAGCAGCAGACGTGAGGGGAGCTCCTGACTCCACCCACGTCCCTCATACTGATTCAATCTATATCCTTCGTGTGTGAGCTGAACATGCTACCTCTGAGCTGCGACCTACCCACCACATTACTGTAGAAGCAATAAAACTTGCAAAAATGACACAAAAAGGACACCATGTAATGCTAAATTTACAGGGAAGAAAGAAATGATAAAATAACGAGAGTAGAAACACTGTAAAACACAGAATAAAAGTTTAAAGAAATTTTGTAGCTGACTATAGTGGAAATATTAATTATCGAGCACCATACATCAATCATGATGATTATGGTAACTAAGTTTTCTCGGAACGATAATAATTTTTAACAATTATAGTTTACCTTAAGTTTTCGTTTTCTGTGATGCGGCAATATTTTCATTCTTTTTGATTAAGACGTCTAACTCGCGTATTTTACAAAATAATACTGAAAACGTGAAGTAAATAAGTAAGTTTATTTAAGTACTGGTACACATAAATACAACTATCTTACATAGTAACATGTGTAAATTACTTAAGATAACCCCGGAAAAGTTAGACAAAGTGACTATTTCCACTGAGGTTAGTATCTTCAGTGAAATATCTGGGAATCTCCTTTGACCTGAGCATGTCAAGAGTATAAAATACGAATGCCAGACTAAAGTTCCTCTACAGACAGGCACAGTGCCTACCTACTGAGGCTCGCATGACCTTATGTCTAGCTCTTATACAAGGTCATATAGATTATTATTGCTCTTTATGGTACTCTGATAGACTATAAAATAGCCAGAACAAAATGGTGATATTCATCTTGGACTTGGGTCCAAGAGAGCATGTAGGCCAGGCTGAATGACAACAACTGGATATGCTGAACGCTGAAGACAGAGTAAAGAAACTGAAGTTTAATCGCGTTTATAAGACTGCTCACAAGCAGAGTCTAGAATATCACCACAGGCAATCCGAGGACACTTCCTCAGTCCAGTAACTTAGTTTACGAACACTGAGTAGGCATACCTGGTGGTACACTTCATTTAGGTTGTCAGTACTCTTACACTGCAAACATGGATGTTTAAGGAAGCTAGCTGCTAATGTCTACATAATAATCATGAAAGGGAGCTCTCACGTTGACAAGTCACTATATATATATATATATATATATATATATTATATATATATATATATATATATATATATATATATATATATATATATATATATATATATATAATATATATATATATATATATATATATATATTTGAAAGTATATTAGTTGTACACTCTTTACCACTACAGTAGACCATCATGTACATTTACACTCTCTTACTCCTACAGAGACCATCCTGTGTAATTTACCACTCTCTTACTCTACAGGAGACATCTGTGTACAGTTGACCACTCTACTCTACGGGAGCATCCTGTGTACAGTTGTACCACTCTCTTACTCCTACCAGGAGACCATCCTGTGTACAGTTGTACCACTCTCTTACTCCTACCAGGAGACCATCCTGTGTACAGTTGTACCACTCTCTTACTCCTACCAGGAGACCATCCTGTGTACAGTTGTACCACTCTCTTACCCCTACCAGGAGACCATCCTGTGTACAGTTGTACCACTCTCTTACCCTTACAAGGAGACCATCCGGTGTACGGTTACGGTTATACCATCTCCCAACTTTGCCCGGAAACAAACTATCCTGAGTACAATTGTACCACTTTTTCTACCACCAGGAGGCCGAGAATTTTTTTCACGGTCTTGGGTTCCCGCCACTGCCGCCCAAGTTCTGGATGAAGTCTGTGCTGGGTGAGGGAGAGGACCTGCCTGCAGGAGGCTGTCAGGACCGCTCTCTAGATATGTTTGCCCCGGCAGATTTCAGGTACCACTCAATGTATTGAGAAACATAGAGAGAAAATAATAAAAAGCTCTCAAGAAACTATTGAAGTTTTTATCTGAATTAATATTAATTTTGGTCCCTAAGACTACAGTTCTTCTTCTTCTTCTTCTTCTTCTTCTTCTTCTTCTTCTTCTTCTTCTTCTTCTTCTTCTTCTTCTTCTTCTTCTTCTTCTTCTTCTTCTTCTTCTTCTTCTTCTTCTTCTTCTTTCTTTTTCTTCTTCTTTTCTCTTCTTCTTTTTCTTCTTCTTCTTTCTTTTCTTCTTCTTCTTTCTTCTTCTTTTCTTCTTCTCTTCTTTTCTTTTTCTTCTTCTTCTTCTTCTTCTTCTTCTTTCTTCTTCTTCTTCTTCTTTCTTCTTCTTCTTCTTCTTTCTTTTTCTTCTTCTTCTTATTATTATTATTATTAATGATCAAGTCTGACATATTTAATATGGATACCTTCCCATGGGCAGTAGTCAAAATATTACAGAGAATCTTAATGGGTTCAGTGACCAGCCGAAATTTTTTATTTAATAAGGAAATCACAGAATAGTGAAATATTTACAACTTTATTGAAGTGGGAACTAAAGTGACATGTTTACACATGTACTCAGTTACACGTAGCTAATATTTAATTATGAGTTGCGTACATTTCCAAATATTTAATAAGTTATGGTTATATTTAGGCAAGTTACAGTGGTTATACATTATTTACAATAGGCAAATAATTCATAACCACTCTAACCTTATGTAGACAAGTTAATCATAATCACTGTAACCTTGCTATGGACAAAGTTCGGTGATTTTTTTCACAATTGCTAGTAAAATGCCAAATAAATACCCTACGTAGCAATCTATTCGTACTTCTCTTCCTGAGGCTAGTGTTACTGCAGCCTACTCCATTTCTTGCTCTTGTTTTCTCCAATAATTTGGAAAAATTGGATGCTCCCTGGCATACTTAAAGATAACAAAAAAAAGTGTTAGACTTGTTGAACATTTTCTAAATGTTTGTTTACCTGGAGTTTACCTGGAGAGAGTTCCGGGGGTCAACGCCCCCGCGGCCCGGTCTGTGACCAGGCCTCCTGGTGGATCAGAGCCTGATCAACCAGGCTGTTACTGCTGGCTGCACGCGAACCAACGTACGAGCCACAGCCCGGCTGATCAGGAACCGACTTTAGGTGCTTGTCCAGTGCCAGCTTGAAGACTGCCAGGGGTCTGTTGGTAATCCCCCTTATGTATGCTGGGAGGCAGTTGAACAGTCTCGGGCCCCTGACACTTATTGTATGGTCTCTTAACGTGCTAGTGACACCCCTGCTTTTCATTGGGGGGATGTTGCATCGTCTGCCAAGTCTTTTGCTTTCGTAGTGAGTGATTTTCGTGTGCAAGTTCGGTACTAGTCCGTCTAGGATTTTCCAGGTGTATATAATCATGTATCTCTCCCTCCTGCGTTCCAGGGAATACAGGTTCAGGAACCTCAAGCGCTCCCAGTAATTGAGGTGTTTTATCTCCGTTAATGCGCGCCGTGAAGGTTCTCTATACATTTTCTAGGTCAGCAATTTCACCTGCCTTGAAAGGTGCTGTTAGTGTGCAGCAATATTCCAGCCTAGATAGAACAAGTGACCTGAAGAGTGTCATCATGGGCTTGGCATCCCTCGTTTTGAAGGTTCTCATTATCCATCCTGTCATTTTTCTAGCAGATGCGATCGATACAATGTTATGGTCCTTGAACGTGAGATCCTCCGACATGATCACTCCCAGGTCTTTGACGTTGGTGTTTCGCTCTATTTTGTGGCCAGAATTTGTTTTGTACTCTGATGAAGATTTAATTTCCTCGTGTTTACCATATCTGAGTAATTGAAATTTCTCATCGTTGAACTTCATATTGTTTTCTGCAGCCCACTGAAAGATTTGGTTGATGTCCGCCTGGAGTCTTGCAGTGTCTGCAATGGAAGACACTGTCATGCAGATTCGGGTGTCATCTGCAAAGGAAGACACGGTGCTGTGGCTGAGTGAGTGAGTTGTTTCTATATTAATGGCAATAATTCCTTTGGTAAAGTTTACATTTACTTATAACTGCATCAGTTGGTACAGATTTTCCGAGGTAGGTGTAGCCCAGCCTAAGCCGGACAGTAATGATATCCAAGTCTGCTGATTTTGTCAGATGAGCCATAGACATGTGACTCTTCCTGCATGTCCAGCATGACTGAATGATGTTAGATGGACTTACTGGCATCAGTTTTCTTCTGTCTCAAGTCGATTAAGCTATTTTTCCATAATTTTGCCCTCAAATTTCTTGTTTACGACTAAAATCCGTAATTTACTTCCTCCTGGAAGACATACTGACGTCTTTGCCAGTTCATCAGATCTATCATGCATTTAAAGACCACCATGAGAGGGAACCCACTCTATTATAAGTCTACCATAGCTCTGTTTAGCTTCTGAAACTGCGTGTTACACGTGGCATTCGTGGTGTTAAGAACATTTATTTATGACAGAAAATCACTTAAAATTAATGTGTCAACTACGATAAATGAACATATTCACAGAGAAACACTCTCCCAGGATGATGCTGTGTGAGGCTGCTGATGAGGAGGGTGAGAGAGTCGCCTACCATGAACTAGGTCACCTCCACTACTTCCAAGCCTACGCTGACCAGCCTACAGTCTTCAGGGTAAATTGCTTTTATCTCGAAGTGTCTTAAAAAAGTTACTTTTCATTGGTGGCTTAATACACTTTAGTATCGTCAAACACTGTTTCTGACACAGAGATTTATAGTTTCAAAGCTAATGGTGGTAATACCTTCAGTAGGTGAAGGGGGGGGGGGAAGTGTGTATAATACTACTACTTTTCATGCTACTTTCAGTGATCCTCAAGGGTTACGAGATTTAAAAAAATAATTAAATCATCACAATACCTCCTTTGAAATGGCTCTTTATCCAAGGAACTGGAACTACTCTTCCCTTCCTCGGATCAAGCTTGATTATCTCCCACCCTTCCTGTTTCTCAGGTTCTGTCTGACCTCAACAAGTTGAGCACTTAGGTTACAATAATAAAAAATAGTGGTAGCATAAGTAACGTCCTATAACAAGTCATATTTAAGAGGCACCTACGTTCTCATGTCTCCTATGATTATGTTTATTTTTCCCCTATAATCTACCTTATCCATAATTACTATCGTATTTGCTTTGTCTTCTTTCGTAAGGTGAAGTCCAGGATCTTTCCTTAATTCATGGTATAACTTAACAAATCTGAGGACAATTGTGTTGCAGAAATCTGAGCAAAGCTGAGACCTCTCACCCACACCCATGTGTGGGTGAGTGAGGTTGGGAACCACAAGGAAGGGATGGTACTGCGATGAGGGTTGTTGTGAGAAGGTATTGTGCCCTTATAGGGAATGAAGGTTAGGAATATGGTTGTAGGTTTGTTTGAGCCGTTGTGTTTGAGTGAGAAGTATGGACGCGGGTGGGGGGGGGAATGGTCCCCCACCGTGAAGCAGGGTTCTCACACTGAGCTCTCACACTGAGCTCTCACACTGAGCTCTCACACTGAGCTCTCACACTGAGCTCTCACACTGAGCTCTCACACTCAGCTCTCACACTGAGCTCTCACACTCAGCTCTCACACTCAGCTCTCACACTGAGCTCTCACACTCAGCTCTCACACTCAGCTCTCACACTCAGCTTTCACATTGAACTCTCACACTGAGCTCTCACACTGAGCTCTCACACTGAGCTCTCACATTGAACTCTCACACTGAGCTCTCACACTGAGCTCTCACATTGAGCTCTACACTGAGCTCTCACATTGAGCTCTCACACTGAGCTCTCACACTGAGCTCTCACACTTAGCTTGGTGTATCAATGGATGTGCAGGTTCCGTACTTGATGTTGTGTTTGCTGGTTCTACTTGTCTTTGACTGTTACTAATTATCTCCAGTTGTTTCCTCTCCTGTACTCACCTAATTGTGGTTGCCGGGGTTGAGTCATAGCTCCTGGCCCCGTCTCTTCACTGGTTGCTATTCCTATGTGTGTGACACAACATAACCTCTCAGTCTACACCTTTTACAGGATGGTACTAACTCCGCCTTCCATGAGACCATTGGTGACACTCTCCAGCTATCTGCCATGACCTCATCTCACCCTGCTGCCGTCACTCCTCTCTCCCCCGCTGCCGTCACTCATCACACCATCACTCAGGGTCCCGTCACAGCTCACGGTCCCTCTACAACCATCACACGTGAGTATCTCAGCCAGGAACATACTAAGAACAACACTAGCACTGCTGGTTCATGTTCAGCAACTGCATGAACATTTTTAGCAGTTTGTGTCGCCTGAGAGGCTAGTTTCTTTTGCACTCACAGCTCGTCCTGTGAGTGGCTAGTTTTTTGTGCACTCACAGCTCGTCCTGTGAGTGGCTAGTTTCTTTTGCACTCACAGCTCGTCCTGTGAGTGGCTAGTTTCTTGTGCACTCACAGCTCGTCCTGTGAGTGGCTAGTTTATTGTGCACTCACAGCTCGTCCTGTGAATGGATAGTTTCTTGTGCACTCACAGCTCGTCTGTGAGTGCACAACAAGAAACATGATTAGTAAGGTTTTAGTGAGTCTTTATCAGACCTAACTGATCCTAGTTATTTACGATCATTTTTGGCCATGTTTCCTTAACCTGCTGCTGCAATATATATAAAAATATATATATATATATATATATATTATAATATATATATATATATATATTTATATATATATAATATATATAACATATACATATATATTTATAAAGAGTGGAGCCCAAGTGTTGGTAAGCCACTCACCCTGTATGTCTCAATTTGTGCAAATGAGAAGTCATTCCTAATCCAAGTGTCTTACATAATTAACACTATATTATGCAAAAGCCAGATGTTTTAGAAACACTTACAAGTACACACGCACATGTGTACGTACGGGTACACATACATAAATGTACACAGTCCACTAAAATGTCTATGTTCGTCCTCCACGTCATTCACACGAACAAGTAATGAAACACAGACATAACCACACCTACGTTAAGACAGACACAGACATGTGCCTGCATGTATATGTGCATATGTGTGTATGACAGCACCTGCTGCTGCACCACTACACTGACTGAGACAGCAGTGTGTGTGTCGTACAGGTGGAGAGCTGAGACAGCTTCTGAAGGTGGCACTGACTAAGTTACCACTGCTCGCCTTCGCCAGGGTGGTGGACGAGTGGCGCTGGAGAGTGTTCCAGGGGGCGGTGAGTTACCTCTCTGACTTCATCCTTCACCCAATTATAACTACTCCTCTCATTCCTCTGATCAAATATGATTAACGTCAATCCTTCCATTTACCTGGTTCTTTGTTACAGTACTGTGATGGTTACCATAGGAACGCAGAGCCTAGGCTCCACACTTTGATGGTTACCACAGGAACGTAGAGCCTAGGCTCCACACTTTGATGGTTACCACAGGAACGTAGAGCCTAGGCTCCACACTTTGATGGTTACCACAGGAACGTAGACCATAGGCTCCACACTGTAATGGTTACCATAAGGACGTAAAGCTTAGGCTTCGCACTATGATGGTTACCATAGGAACGTAGAGCCCAGGAGCCACACTATGATGGTTACCATAGGAACGTAGAGCCCAGGAGCCACACTATGATGGTTACCATAGGAACGTAGAGCCCAGGAGCCACACTATGATGGTTACCATAGGAACGTAGAGCCCAGGAGCCACACTATGATGGTTACCATAGGAACGTAGAGCCCAGGAGCCACACTATGATGGTTACCATAGGAACGTAGAGCCTAGGCTCCACACACACTAGCAGTCTTGGGTTCAATTCCCGTCCGGCTTGCCGTGAAATATTTAGTCTTCCGTTACGATTTTTTTGCTAGTACTTTATGTACCTCTGAGAGACAGGAGCTAAATCTATTAGGAATGTTGATGGTGAGTGAAGGAGCTATGAAAATCTTCAAGATGATACGTCAGCAATGCTTGCTAACATTATTATAACAGAGTTCCTCTATATAATGACCATCACAGTACAGTGTTAGTGTAGGCTTTGTATACACAGCCTTGCCTGCAAAACAGGCATATATTATTTCTCATGCCAATGTTATCCTTGTAACATCTACATTCATAAATCTTCCTTTGGACTTTTGTTAAGTTTGTACGAAAGATTATGCTTCTAACATCAGTCTCACGATTCATGTAAATATTTCACCACTGATGCTTGAAGACTTGAGATTATTGGACGGAGGATCGAGCTTCCACCACTCCTTGCGCTGACTGAGTTACACTAGTGTTACCGTGTCATGTGGAAGGTTATAGTTGGTCTGGTGATGCCGAGAAACACAGAAAAGAACCCTCGTGCCCAATTCAGGGCAATAAATGTCCCAAATTGTTCACAAGTCATGTTATGTCTGATACTAATAATGATGATACACAACAGGTACAGAAGGAAGAGTACAACAGGTCGTGGTGGCTGCTCAAGTACCACTACCAGGGAGTTACTCCCCCAAGCCCACGCTCTGAGGACGACTTCGATCCTGCAGCCAAGTTACACGTCCCAGATAACACTCCCTACGTCAGGTGGGTTGTAGGTGTGCTGTCCTACGTCAGGTGGGTGACAGGTTCCCTGCCCTTACATGAGGTGGGTCATATGTGCCTACGTCAGGCGAGACTTAGGTGTCTTGGCCCTATGTCACGCGGGTCCCAGGTGCCCTGTTCCTATTCAAGTGGCTCCTAAGCGCCATGTTCCTACGTTAGGTAAGTGCTAGGTACCCTGTTCGTATGTCTGGTGGGTCCTAGGTACTTTGTTCCTATGTCTTGTGAGCCTTAGGTACCCTGCTCCTACATCAGGTGAGTATTAGGTATCCTGTTCCTACGTCAGGTGAGTATTAGGTATCCTGTTCTTTCGTCACGTGAGTATTAGGTATCATGTTCCTACGTCAGGTGAGTATTAGGTATCCTGTTCCTACGTCAGGTGAGTATTAGGCATCCTGTTCCTACGTCAGGTGAGTATTAGGTATCCTGTTCTTACGTCAGTTGAGTATTAGGTATCCTGTTCCTACATCATGTGAGTATTAGGTATCATGTTCCTATGTCAGGTGAGTATTAGGTATCCTGTTCCTACGTCAGGTGAGTATTAGGTATCCTGTTCTTACGTCAGTTGAGTATTAGGTATCCTGTTCCTACATCAGGTGACTATTAGGTATCCTGTTCCTACGTCAGGTGAATATTAGGTATCCTGTTCCTACATCAGGTGAATATTAGGTATCCTGTTCCTACGTCAGGTGAGTATTAGGTATCCTGTTCTTACGTCAGGTGAGTATTAGGTATCCTGTTCCTACATTAGGTGAGTATTAGGTATCCTGTTCCTACGTCAGGTGAGTATTAGGTATCCTGTTCCTACATCAGGTGAGTATTAGGTATCCTGTTCCTACATCAGGTGAGTATTAGGTATCCGGTTCCTACGTCAGTTGAGTATTAGGTATCCTGTTCCTACATCAGGTGAGTATTAGGTATCCTGTTCTTACGTCAGTTGAGTATTAGGTATCCTGTTCCTACATCAGGTGAGTATTAGGTATCCTGTTCTTACGTCAGTTGAGTATTAGGTATCCTGTTCCTACATCAGGTGAGTGTTAGGTATCCTGTTCCTACATCAGGTGAGTATTAGGTACCCTGTTCCTACATCAGGTGAGTATTAGGTATCCTGTTCTTACGTCAAGTGAGTATTAGGTATCCTGTTCCTATGTCAGGTGAGTATTAGGTATCCTGTTCCTACGTCATGTGAGTATTAGGTATCCTGTTCCTACGTCAGGTTAGTATTAGGTATCCTATTCCTACGTCAGGTGAGTATTAGGTATCCTGTTCCTACATCAGGTGAGTATTAGGTATCCTGTTCCTACGTCAGGTGAGTATTAGGTATCCTGTTCTTACGTCAGTTGAGTATTAGGTACCCTGTTCCTACATCAGGTGAGTATTAGGTATCCTGCTCTTACGTCAGTTGAGTATTAGGTATCCTGTTCCTACGTCAGGTGAGTATAGGTATCCTGTTCCTACGTCAGGTGAGTATTAGGTATCCTGTTCCTACGTCAGGTGAGTATTAGGTATCCTGTTCCTACGTCAGGTGAGTATTAGGTATCCTGTTCCTACGTCAGGTGAGTATTAGGTATCCTGTTCCTACATCAGGTGAGTATCAGGTATCCTGTTCCTACGTCAGGTGAGTATTAGGTATCCTGTTCCTACGTCAGGTGAGTATTAGGTATCCTGTTCCTACATCAGATGAGTATTAGGTATCCTGTTCCTACATCAGGTGAGTATTAGGTATCCGGTTCCTACGTCAGTTGAGTATTAGGTATCCTGTTCCTACATCAGGTGAGTATTAGTATCCTGTTCTTACGTCAGTTGAGTATTAGGTATCCTGTTCCTACATCAGTGAGTATTAGGTATCCTGTTCTACGTCAGTTGAGTATTAGGTATCCTGTTCCTACATCAGGTGAGTGTTAGGTATCCTGTTCCTACATCAGATGAGTATTAGGTACCCTGTTCCTACATCAGGTGAGTATTAGGTATCCTGTTCTTACGTCAAGTGAGTATTAGGTATCCTGTTCCTATGTCAGGTGAGTATTAGGTATCCTGTTCCTACGTCATGTGAGTATTAGGTATCCTGTTCCTACGTCAGGTTAGTATTAGGTATCCTATTCCTACGTCAGGTGAGTATTAGGTATCCTGTTCCTACGTCAGGTGAGTATTAGGTATCCTGTTCCTATGTCAGGTGAGTATTAGGTATCCTGTTCCTACGTCAGGTGAGTATTAGGTATCCTGTTCCTACGTCAGGTGAGTATTAGGTATCCTGTTCCTTCGTCAGGTGAGTATTAGGTACCCTGTTCCTACGTCAGGTGAGTATTAGGTACCTTGTTCCTACGTCAGGTGAGTATTAGGTACCTTGTTCCTACGTCAGGTGTAAATATTAGGTACCTTGTCCCACGTCAGGTGAGTATTAGGTACCTTGTTCCTACGTCAGGTGAGTATTAGTACCCTGTTTCCACACCTAAAAGGTTTTATTGCTCATTTATGAACAATAAATTCTGACTATAATAAGAGTGTAGGTAAGAACGCATATTCGCTAAGTCCCTAGGTGTCACACAACACCTAGGTGTCACACAACACCTAGGTGTCACACAACACCTAGGTGTCACACAACACCTAGGTGTCACACAACACCTTGGTGTCACACAACACCTAGGTGTCACACAACACCTAGGTATCACACAACACCTAGGTGTCACACAACACCTAGGTGTCACACAACACCTAGGTGTCACAACAACACCTTGGTGTCACACAACACCTAGGTGTCACACAACACCTAGGTGTCACACAACACCTAGGTGTCACACAACACCTAGGTGTCACACAACACCTTGGTGTCACACAACACCTAGGTGTCACACAACACCTAGGTGTCACACAACACTAGGTGTCACACAACACCTAGGTGTCACACAACACCTAGGTGTCACAAACACCTAGGTCTCACATAACACCTAGGTGTCACACAACACTTTGGTGTCATACAACATCTAGGTGTCACACAACACCTATGTGTCACAAAACCTAGGTCTCACACAACACCTAGGTGTCATACAACACCTAGCTGTCACACAACACCTAGGTGTCACACAACACCTAGGTGTCACACAACACCTTGGTGTCACACAACACCTAGGTGTCACACAACACCTAGGTGTCATACAACATCTAGGTGTCACACAACACCTATGTGTCACAAAACCTAGGTCTCACATAACACCTAGGTGTCACACAACACTTAGCTGTCACACAACACCTAGGTGTCACACAGCACCTAAACGTCACACAGAATCTAGGTGTCACACAGCACCTAGGTGTCACACAACACCTAGGTGCCACACAACACCTAGGTGTCACACAACACCTAAATGTCACACAGAATCTAAGTGTTACACAGCACCTAGGTGTCACACAACACCTAAATGTCACACAGCACCTAGGTGTCAGAACACCTAGTTGTCACACAGCACCTAGGTGTCACAGAACACCTAAATGTCATACAGCACCTAGGTGTCACATAACACCTAAATGTCACACAGCACCTGGGTGTCACACAACACCTAGTTGTCATACAGCACCTAGGTGTCACATAACACATAAATGCCACGCAGCACCTAGGTGTCACACAGCACCTAGTTGTCACCCAGCACCTAGGTGTCACAGAACACCTAAATGTCACACAGCACCTAGGTGTCACACAACACCTAGTTGTCATACAGCACCTAGGTGTCACAGAACACCTAAATGTCACACAGCACCTAGGTGTCAGAACACCTAGTTGTCACACAGCACCTAGGTGTCACAGAACACCTAAATGTCATACAGCACCTAGGTGTCACACAACACCTAGTTGTCATACAGCACCTAGGTGTCACAGAACACCTAAATGTCATACAGCACCTAGGTGTCACACAACACATAAATGCCACGCAGCACCTAGGTGTCACACAGCACCTAGTCACACAGCACCTAGGTGTCACAGAACACCTAAATATCACACAGCACCTAGGTGCCACAGAACATCTAAATGTCACACAGCACCTAGGTGTCACACGACACCTAAATGTCACACAGCACCTAGGTGTCACACGACACCTAAATGTCACACAGCACCTAGGTGTCACACAGCACCTAGGTGTCACACAGCACCGAGTTGTCACATAGAACTTAGGTGTCACACAACACCTAGGTGTCACATAACGCCTAGTTGACACACAGCACCTAGGTGTCACACAGCACCTAGGTGTCACACCGCACCTGGGAATCGGTTGATAATACATTGTTGGTTCTTCAGATATCTGGTAGCTGTGGTGGCGCAGTTCCAGGTGCACAAAGGCCTATGCGAGGCAGCCTATGGACGACCCCTTCCCATACCTGCCCACACCTGTAATATTGCTGGCTCCCTCCAGGCAGGAGACCTCCTCAGGTAGGTGGTGGGGTGATAAGCTGGGGTGATGGACTGGAGTAGTAAAAGGCTGGAGTGATGATGGGCTGGGGTGACGACAGGCTGGGGTGACGACAGGCTGGGATGACGACAGGCTGGGGTGATGACAGGCAGGGGTGATGACAGGCTGGTGTGATGACAGGCTGGGGTGGCGACAGGCAGGGGTGATGACAGGCTGGTGTGATGACAGGCTGGGGTGGCGACAAGCTGGACTGACGACAGGCTGGGGTGGCGACAGATTGGGGTGACAACTCACTGGGGTGGTGACTTTTCCTTACTCTCCATGTCGCCACTCTCGCCGTACAAATGACTCTTCCTGCTGTATTTCTGAAGTAAGCTGCAGCTTCATGAGCTTCAGTGAAAGTATGACATGAAAGATTCACTGTATGACCTAAGAGTGTTCTGGTGGAATCACTTCAGTATCTCAACTGCATAACCCTTATAGATAATGCTTGGTAGGGAGTGACTTTCAGGACGATGAACTCTGCTTGGAGAAACAACCACAAAACAACCACAGGGGAAGTTGAATGATAGCTCTAGGCCTTTCGTGTTGCAAACAACACATCATCAGGAGCTTACAAAGTTGCAGAAATGAATAAGTAATCTTAGCAAATTCGTTCAGAGGGATGCTTTGCCAAGTTGGGTTAAGTTTAATAAACTCTACGGAGAAGTCACTCCATGTTTGACTTTCTCCTGGCAGGAAGCGCTGATCATTCATAGTTGAATTACTCTAGAAGGCAATATGCTCTTATATGAGCATAGTACCATTTATATTAATTAGTGGGTCAAGTCCAGGTGGACTTCAGCATTGTGATGCTTCTAACAGTAAAGTAAGTTTAGTGAATTTATTGCGATGTTTGTTACATCTGTCGGGATCCCTCAAGGGAGGTTCCTTGACGCTGGTGAGCGGCTCTTGATCTAGGGTATTGGATCTGTGCTCTAGTTCCCCAAACTGAGCCTGAATGTCTTCCATCCCCTCACCACAGAAGCTGTATAATCCCCACGGGTTTAGCGCTCTCCTATGAAGATAATAATAATAATAATAATAATAATAATAATAATAATAATAATAATAATAATAATAATAATAATAATACTGTCGGGCTCAAATTGTCTTCTTATGTTTTCCGAATAATTTCCTGCATATTTATTAATTTAATTTAATTTTTGTTCAATACTTTTAAAGGAATATTTTCACTTGTCATTTCCCTAATAGCTTTCACGTTTTTTTGCTTTTTAATAATTCTCTTTGTTCACTGAATTGTGAAGAATGTCTACAGGTGCACTCATCGTACTCTTGTCTTGGCCTCTTGCTATTTAGTGGTGGGTTGTACATCAACTTGGGACCCCCAGACCGAAGTGTTCCTACTATGTAGTCATCTGCTTCCCCTTCCTTTCATTCCTCTCACCTCAAAACTTCACCGGTTTCTGATGTGCAACTCTTCTTCCTCTGTGGCATGCAAAGAGTATGTTACAATTTATTCGGCGTATATCACACTTCCATATAGGCTGCCTCTCAAGCAGCGAACCGAGTACTAAGGGTTTAACGATCAATAGGGTACCTGTCCTTAAATCAGCACATTGGTTCATTGACCAATCACAGGCAAGCCCTCCAAAGCTGAAGCAACGTGGGTCACTTGCGGTAAGCATTGGCAGACTTGCTTACCTGCTGGTTGAGTACAGTGCACTCTCTCTGGCTTCTGCTTTGCCATTTGCCACCATGGTGTACACATATTATTATTGTATATATACATACTGTACATAGTGTAGATATCTGTATATAGTGGGTGAAGGCAAAATATACCTTATAGTCTACTGCTGAGTTTTTTTGCTCCAGTTCTCATTACGACCAGGTCTCACAGGTCATTTTTTTTACCTATGTTCCCCCTGTATTTCCTCAGGATCTAATAGCTATTTGGGAAGGTTGCGTCTGTTACCGTCTCAGTAAGCTTTGTCTCTGTGAGTCCTATGATGTTTGGGGATGCCTCCGTGATTTGTTCATATCGCTCCTCACTCTTATTTGTTATTTGTTTTTCGTTGGTATACAATACCTTCAGCTTCTTTTGCAGTAATATATTCTGGGAGGTGAGGGGGGGATTGGTGCGGGTTGGAGGTGCGGACGGCTGGACGGGATTTTATGAGAGGCTGTTGTGATGGTGGTCTTTGTGGTGGAGGGAGTGAGGACTGTGGGTGTGGAGTGTGGTTTGCTTCGGGTTTATTGTGTTTGGTTGTGAAAGGGGTTCTATGTATGGTTGTATTTGGTGGTTCCTCCGAGGCTCAGCTTCTATGCCTGCGATGCATACCGTCTCTCCTTCCTGCCTCTGGCGCCTTTGTGTCCTCTCTCTCTCTCTCTCTCTCTCTCTCTCTCTCTCTCTCTCTCTCTCTCTCTCTCTCACTTGCTCCCAATCCTTTTGTGTTCCATCACAGTTAAGGGACACCCAGTGGAATTTTTGTGAGTTGTTTATCTCTGGTTTCTGCTGCATGATCCTCGTTAGTACTATTTCTGTTGTAATTGTCAATTTGACTGGGCGAATTATTCCCCTTAAATACTCACCAAATCTCTGAAAATTCGTTCCCTGCCACATGATCTCCTCTCCTGTTATTAATCTGTTTCCTCCACCTGCTGCCTGTCCTCATAAGTGCTTCCTTCAGTCTCCTGAAGCCCATGAATAATTGGTGTGTGTGTGTGTTTGTGTGTGTGTGTGTGTGTGTGTGTGTGTGTGTGTGTGTGTGTGTGTGTGTGTGTGTGTGTGTGTGTGTGTGTGTGTGTGTGTGTGTGTGTGTGTGTGTATCAGTGTTGCCACAACTGCCACTACAGCAGCGCCACCACCTTCACAGGGGCGTCATGGGCTGGGGATCGTCTGTGGCGTGGACAGAGGTGATGGAGACACTGACAGGCCATCCACACCTGGATGCCACGCCCATGCTGGAGTTCCTGGCGCCCCTCACCCACTGGCTGCACGCCCATGCCCACAACCTCACCCTGGGCTGGTAACAATGATGTGAAGAACCTCGCCCCGGACTGTCAACACTGCAGTGGAGGATCTCACTCTGAGCTGGTATGACTGGTGTGGTGAAAATTTTGATGTAAAATGCACACTCTGAGGTGGTAACGCTGATGTAAGGTATATACTCTGAGGTGGTAACCCTGATGTAAGATACATACTCTGAGGTGGAAAAATCTAGGGGGGTAACTTTTTTAAAAAATAGAACCCTGGAAAGCCCCTTTTGGAGGGAAGTTTTTAAGTTTTCGGGGAGGGGTGTAAAGTCCCTATGGGGGGAAAGTTTCCCCATTCACTTCACCTTTGGCGGGGGAAGGTCCCCCCCGCCTTCCCCTGGCGGGGTGTCCCCCCCCTCCTTTCCTCCCTTCCCCCCCCCTCCTCCCGGGCAAATTCCCCCTCCTTCCCTCCCTTCCCCCTCCCCTTCCCTTTTGCAAATGGTCCCCACCAGTCCCACCTGGAGGGAAAGTGTACCCGTCCTTACCTTGGCAGGAAATTGCCCAAGTTCCCTGGCGGGAATTCCCACATCACTTAAAACCGGGAAAATTTGTCCCCCACAGTTCCTTTCCCCTTTGGAAATGTCCCCACCGCCTTCCCTAAATGTCCCACCACCATAAATATGGGGGGTTTTTTGGGAGGGGTTTTTAAAGTTTTTTCGGGGGGTGCCCACCCCCAATTTCCCTCGGGGAAGGCCCCCCCCCCGGGCCCTTCACTTTGGGGGAAGTGTCCCCCACCCTTTCACCTCCGGAATGCCCCCCCAGTCCTCACCTTGGGGGGAAGGCCACCCCACCTTTTCACCTCGGCAGGGAAAGGGTTTTCCCCCCGCCTTCACCTGGCAGGGAGGTCCCCACCAGCCTTCCCCTGGGGGGAAGTGTCCCACCACCCCCTTACCTTGAGGGAAGTGTCCCCCAAAATTTTACCGGGGAATGTAACCCCCCATATTTCCCTGGGGGAATGTCCCCCCATAAATTCATTTTGAGGGAAATGTAAAGTCATTATTTGAGGGGGTCCCAAGTACCCCCCCCCGGGGGGAAAATTTCCCACTATTCACCTCGGAGGGTTAACCCCCATAATCCCCTTTTGCGGGGGATTTTCCCCCAAGAAAATCCCTTTTGGTGGAAGTCCCCCAAGACTTTCACCTTGGCAAATTGCCCCACCCAGTCCCCTTCCCCTTTGGGGGGAAAGTGTCCCCCACCACACTTCCCCTTGGCGGGAATGTCCCCCCCATCCTTCCCCTGGCGGGGGAAGTGCCCCAAAACCCCACCCACTTCCCCTTGGCAGGGAATGTCCCACCAGTCCTTCCCCTTGGCAGGAATGTCCAAAAACCCACTTCCCCCTGGCAGGGAAGTCCCCCAAAAATCCTTTTCCCCTTGGGCAGGAAGTCCCCCACCAGTCACTTCACCTGGCAGGGAAGGGGTCCCACCATCATTTTCACCTGGCAGGAAGGTCCCAACCAGTCACTTCACCTTGGCAGAATTGTCCCACCATCATTTCACCTTGGAGGAAGTGTCCCCCCAAATTCATTTTCACCGGCGGGAAATGTCCCACCAGTCACTTCACCTTGGCAGGGAATGTCCCACCAGTCATTTCACCTTGGCGGGGAAGGCCCCCCCACACTTCCCCTTGGGCGGGGAAAGTTCCCCCCCCAGCCATTTCACCTTTGGCAGGGAAGGGTCCCACCAGGCACTTCACCTTGGCAGGAAGGTCCCCCATCAGTCATTCCCTTGCGGGGAAAGTGTCCCCCCAGTCACTTCACCTGGCGGGGAAAGTGTCCCCCAGTCATTTCCACCTTGGCAGGAAGTGTCCCACCAGCCCTTCCCCTTGGGGGGGAAGTTCCCCCCCAACACTTCACTTGGCGGGGAATGTCCCCCCAGCACTTCCCCTTGGGGGGAAAGTGCCCACCACCAGTACTTCATTGGCGGGGAAGTGTCCCACCAGTCACTTCACCTGGCAGGGAAGTGCCCCCACCACCAGTCATTCCCCTTTGGCGGAAGTGTCCCCCCCCAATTCACCTGGCGGGAATTTTCCCACCAATCACTTACCTGGCAGGGAATGCCCCAAACCCCTCACTTCCCCTCGCGGGGAAGTGTCCCCACCAGTCATTTCCCTTTGGAGGGGAAAGGCCCACAGTCATTCCCCTTGGCGGGAAGTGCCCCCACCAGTCATTTCACCTTGGCGGGAAGGTCCACCAGTCACTTCCCCTGGCAGGGAAGTGTCCCACCATCATTTCACCTGGCGGAAGTTTTTCCCCCCCATCACTTCCCCTGGCTGGAAGTGTCCCACCATCACCCCCCCCGGCAGGAATGCCCCCCCAGTATTCACCTGGCGGGGAAAGTTCCCACCAGCACTTCACCTTGGCGGGAAGTTCCCACCATCACTTCCCCTTGGGGGAAGTGCCCACCAGTATTTCACCTGGGGGGAACCCCCCCCAACATCACTTCCCCTGGCAGGGAAGTGCCCCACCATCACTTCACCCGGGGCGGGGAAGTGTCCCCACCATCATTTTCCCCTTTGCAGGGAATTTCCCCCAATCACTTCACCTGGGGGGGAAGTGTCCACCACCGCCCCTTCCCCTTTGGGCAGGAAGTGTCCCCCCAGCCCTTTCACCTGCGGGGAAGTGCCCCCCCATCACTTCCCCTGGCAGGGAAGTGCCCCACCAGTCACTTCACCTTGGCAGGGAAAGTGCCCCCCACCCCCAGTCATTCACCTGGCAGGGAAGGTCCCCACCCCAAATTCACTTCACCTTGGCGGGAAGTGTCCCAAATCATTACCTGGCAGGGAAGGCCCCCACCCCCATCACTTCCCCTGGCAGGAAGTGCCACCCCATATTTCCCCTGGCAGGAATGCCCCCACATCACTTCCCCTTTGGCAGGAAGGCCCCACCATCATTCATTTGGCAGGGAATTTTTCCCACCATCACTTCACTGGCAGGGAATGTCCCCACCACTGCCCCTTCACCCCTCGGCAGGGAATGTCCCACCCACCAGTCACTTCCCCTGGAGGGAGTGCCCCACATCACTTCACCTGCGGGGAAGTGTCCCCCCCAGTACTTCACCTGGCGGGGAATGTCCCACCAGTCACTTCCCTTGGCAGGGAAGTGTCCCCACCAATCATTCCCCTTGGGCGGGGAAGTTCCCCCCAAATCATTTCACCTTGGCAGGGAAGTGCCCCCACCAGTCCTTTTACCTTGGCGGGGAAGTGCCCCCACCCCATCATTTCCCTTTTGGCGGGAAGTGCCCCCACCAGCACTTCCCCTTTGGCGGGGAAGTTCCCACAGTCACTTCCCCTGGCAGGGAAGTGTCCCACCAAATCACTTAAACCTGGAGGGAAGTGTCCCCCACACTTCCCCTTGGGGGGGGAAATTTCCCACCCCCTCACTTCACCTGGCGGGGAATGTCCCCCATTTCCCCTTTGGCGGGGAAGTGCCCCCCACCACACTTCCCCTGGCAGGAAAAGTGTCCCCCACCCCCATCATTTCCCTTGGAGGGAATGCCCCCCACCATCCTTCCCCCTTGGCAGGAAGGCCCCCCCCATCACTTCACCTGGGCAGGAAGTGTCCCACCACCTTCACCTTGGCAGGGAAGTGTCCACCAGTCACTTCACCTTGGCAGGAATGTCCCAAAACCACCAGCCCCACTTTACCATGGCAGGGAAGTGCCCACCAGTCATTTTACCCGGGGAAGTCCCCACCACCAGCACTCCCCTTTGGCAGGGAAGTGCCCCACCCCATCACTTCCCCTGGCGGAAGTGTCCCACCAGTCACTTCCCCTCGGCGGGGAAGTGTCCCCCACCACACTTCACCTGGGGAAAGTTCCCCCACCAGTCACTTCACCTGGCAGGGAAGTGTCCCCCCACCATCACTTCCCCCGCGGGGAAAGTGTCCCACCACCAGTCACTTCCCCTGGGGGGGAAAAGGTCCCACCAACCAGTCACTTCACCTGGCATGGGGTGCCCCCCACCACCCAATCACCTGGCGGGAAGTGTCCCACCAAATCATTCCCCTGGGGGGGAAGGTCCCCCCCTTCACTCACCGGCAGGGAAGTGTCCCACCACCAGTCCCTTCCCCTGGCAGGGAAGTGTCCCACCCCCCGTCACTTCACCTCGGCAGGGAAGTGCCCCCCAAAGCCCACTTCACCTGGCGGGAAAAGTGCCCCCCCACCAGTCATTTCCCCGGCAGGGAAGGCCCACCATCATTTCCCTGCGGGAAGTTCCAAAACCCCAGTCACTTCACCCCGGCAGGGAAGGTCCCACCACCAGTCACTTACCTTGGCAGGGAAGTTCCCCCAACCATCCTTCCCCCGCAGGGAATGCCCCCCCCCATCACTTCACCTGCGGGGAAGTGTCCCAAAAAGTCACTTCACCTGGCAGGGAAGTGTCCCACCCCATCACTTCACCTGGCAGGGAGGTGCCCCACCACCATTCTTTTTCACCTGGCAGGAATTTCCCCCACCACCACACTTCACCTGGCGGGGAAGTTCCCACCCCCATCATTCACCTGGCAGGGAATTCCCCCCCCACATTTCACCTGGCGGGGAAGGCCCCCCACCTCACTTCCCCCTTGGAGGAAGTGTCCCCCCCCAGTCATTTCACCTGGCAGGGAAGGCCCCACCATCACTTCACCTTGGGCAGGGGTTCCCCCACCAGTCACTTCACCTTGGGGCGGGGAAATGTCCCACCACCAGTCACTTCACCTGCAGGGAAGTCCCACCAGTCACTTACCTTGGCGGGAAGGTCCCCCACCATCATTTCACTTGGCAGGGAAGTGCCCACCACCAGCACTTCCCCCGGCAGGGAAGTGTCCCCCACATCATTTCCCCTGGCAGGGAAGTGTCCCACCAAGTCACTTCATTTTGGCAGGAATGTCCCCCACCAGTCACTTCCCCTTTGGCGGGGAAGTGTCCCCACCAGTCACTTCACCGGGCGGGAATGCCCCAACCCCCAGCACTTCACCTTGGCAGGGAAGTGTCCCACCCCCCTTCACCTTGGCGGGGAAATGCCCCCCCCCAGTCACTTCACCTTGGCGGAATGTCCCCCCCAAAGTCATTCACCTGCGGGGAATGTCCCCCACCATCA